GGACGCAGAATAAAATTCAGATGTCGGAAATAGGAATGGAAAGAGTAAAAAATTCAAAATATGAAAATGAGAATACGTAAAATTTAGCCGACAGAAACAAGATTGTGGAGAGTAAAATTCATATGAGAGGAGGTAAAGAGAAGACCTGACAGGAGGCCAATTGAGTCAGACCCGAGAGGAGGCAGAAAGACCTAATCTGAGAGAGCCGGATTGAGGAGGAGAGAGGTCATACCTGAGAGGAAGGGGAGAGAGGAGGCAGAGATCCCCATAGAAGAGCCACTCAAATCCAAAAAACTTTGTATTTTGAGAGACTCTTGTGTAGATCTGAGTGTTTACTATGTCATAAAGCTTATTGTGCTCTGTACATAAGAACCTTTGGTGCTATGCAACGATCACCACTAACCATATCTAAGAGCCATTTGCGCTCTGAGAACAATCCATCACTGTGAACCTCAAAATCTAAGAGATCAGAGAGCATCTCGTAATCTCAGGTTATAGCCATTTGAGCTCAGATCCATAAAAGGAGGTGAGAAAACTGCAAAAGCATGTGGATAGAAAGGGAGGTAGAGAACCATTTGGGGAACATAAGACTGATAGTCCTATATTTAACATGTTTTGTAATTGTGATTGGGAGCCTAAACCTTACAGGTTCCAGCTGGTGGGGATTCACAAATCTATAAAGCCTTCCTCTCAGAATTGTAAAGCCATACTCTCATATCTGTGAAGGTTAGAGTCTTCAAGACATCAACACAGATCTAAGAAGCACTTTGCTCCTCTTCTTTGAGAGGAGAGAGTTCACCTAAATGTCTACTCTGTCCTCAGACCTTTGCTTCCTGTTCATTGAGATGAGATAGTTCACCTAATTGCCAACTCACTCCCTTCTTTGAGAAAAGAGAGTTCTGAAAATATGCAAGGATGCTTTATTTTTTTAATCAACAGTCTCATGGCATCAAACATAGTCCTTAGATTTTCCGAGAGGATAGAAACTCGGATGTCATTTTCTATTTTAATGTCAGTTCCTTCTAAATTGGTCACATAGATCTTTCACTTTTTGTGCAAACTCAATGATGGAGCCATTGCCTTGTTTACATCCTTGTAGATCTGCTCTCAATAATGCCTTTCTCGCACCGCTCACCTACTCGTGCACAGTTGCAAACCAATCTCCGGCTACTTTCGCTGTTTCCACATCTCCACATGAGGAACATATCGGGTCCACATGAAATTTCATTTGCATGTAGGGCCTTCCCATTCTGCTTTTACCATGCCACGAGCCTATCTTGGGCAATCGGTCTATGTTCAGGACAATTGAGCACCTCCCATTGACCTTGCCTTGCAAAGTACCTTTTCAGCCACACCTTCCAATTTCTATACTTTATTATTTTTAAGTGAGGACTTCAGTAACTATGGTACTTAACATTGACAAGACAGTTTCTTCTTGTTACTCTGGCAAAAAGTCTCTTAGTGAAACTTAATCAGCATACATCTTTGAGAGAGAACTAAATGTTTGACAAACTGTGGTCATTTTCTTCTTGTTACTCTGGCGAAAAGTCTCTCAGTGAAACTTACTCTGCATACATCTTTGAGAGAGAACTAAATGTTTACCAAACTGTGGTCAAAGCAGTATATACAATGTTTCGAGTACTCTATTAACCGCGATCATAGTGCGCCCTTTTAATGAAGAAACAGAGAAGAAGGAGAATCAACGGAACCCTAGCCCAAATGAATAACTGATTCCCAGGAAACCCTATTGACCGCGTGGAGGGATAGCAGAGAGTCCCACAGATGAGTTAGCCCAAAAGCAACTAAAGGGACTATTCTCTTACCTAAAAGCAAACAAGGCAGTAAGGAAAGGAATGGGCTTCACCATACTTGTTTGGAAGCCTCACTTGCGGCTCAGGAAAGACAAGAAGCCTCAAGCAATGTGAAACAATCACATAGAGGCAATCTTACTCACAAAGCAAACTTCGAAATTGGAACAAGTTTCAATTGAAGTAAAAAAATACTTGGGGGTTGTCTTCCCCATATTGAATTTTGAAGCCCAATGGCCTGGCTTTGATACCATGTTGAAAATAATATGCGTGTAAACTTTCATTGTTGATGGCAGCAGACAAAGAGAAGAGAAAAACAAACCTTTTTATTTCCAATAAACTTGGGCTTCGATGGAATTTATAGAATTTTCACTCCATCCATACTTTATCTCTCTAGGCCCAATGGCCTCTCTCACACTCCTTTCTCTCCTTACAAGACCCATTGGACCTACTTTTTCATTCCTCTAACTGTCTCTCTCAACTCTCACATCACCTCACATGAACCCACTCTCAGAAGAACTGTTTGACAAATCAATTTAATATTCAAATTTTTCAAAATCTGAAAAAAGGCATTGTTGTTTTTCTTTATATTTGGATAATATATTATCCCAATATGCATTGTTTGTGTCTGTTTGACTATCTTCCTATGTTTTAGAAATTTCATAGATCTAAAATATTTTACTTTTTTTTTCTTTTTGGTTTTTTGGGTTGGTTGTTGTGGTTGTTTTGTGTGTGTTTGTGTTTTTTCTTTTTGTTGTTCTTTTCTTTTTTTTCTTTTTTTCGTTTTTTTTTTTGGGGGGGGGTGGGGGGACACAAATCATTTCCCCAAGTTTTTAAAACAGTCCACTAGTACACAGACTAGATGGACAAAATCCACATCCTTGATGGATGCCATTTTGGTTGGGCCAGTGAACAGAAAACATGTGAACATTTTAGCCATTTTTAAGCCATGCCTTCATCTATTGACCTTTCAGTCTAAGATAGTTTATCATGCTTATTGTGTATATTTAGTGTTATCAGTCTAAGATAGTCTAACAAACAATGTTTCATTGCACCCTACAACCGTGTCGATTTTATGAACAAAGTGAGATTAGAAGCTCCATAAAACTAGAATAACTAGTACTAAAACATAGAAACCATTATGGAATACTATCATCAACAACAAAATAATGTTAAAATCCCAATAGGACGGCTATCAAATTTTATAAAAATACCATGCAGCATAATTAGGGAGACAAGCATATTATCGCAAAGGGGTCGTTTGGGTACCTGGAAAAATAGGAAAATATATTATTGGCATCATACAGTACTGACGTAACACATTACCTGCAAATAGATTGTTACTGTTTGGGTAATATCTAGATTCAACCTCAGAAATACATTGCTATTGTTTGGCTATGTTTGAAGAAATCTGAAAAATGCATTACCGACATTTTGACTAGAAAATATTGTGTTAATTTTATCTATAGTAATCTGGTTTTTTAATACTTTTTTATTTCTTTTTAATATGAAATATTCAATTAAAACCACTTTGTTTTCTAATATGTGAAGGTAATATCTGGGTTGATTTTATCCGGCAATAATTACCCGGCAAGTTTGAATTTACATAAAAAAAAAAATTTAAATGCAAACCCATAATAACCCAATAAGATTCCCACCCTACTATTACTACACTTTATTCAAAAAAATCACATATTCCCAATCCCAATACTTCCACCGCCTATACCACTTCTCTCTCCTCCTCCACTTCCAATATTTCCACCGCCAATGCCTATTCTCACTCCTCCGCCACTGCCTGACCTACCACCCCCTGCTTGTTCTCTCTCTTCCCCCAGTTTCGATGCTTCCACAGCCTGCGCCTCTTCTCTCTCCTCCAGTGCTGCCTCACCAGTGAATGTAATACCACCTCCACCAGCGGTGCTGATCCCTTAGCCCCCACAAATTTCACATTTTTCCTTGAAAAAATGGATGATTTTAGGCATGCTTTCCTTGCTTTGTTTATTTTCCCCCTAAACACAAGGGATGATATGAATAAAGGTTGTAAATTTTGAGCAATTACAGATAGAAAGGAGGATGCACCAACATTACCAACCTCCAAGCTAGAGAGAGAGAGAGCGACAGTTTTAGAGAGACAAAGAAAATGAGTGTGAGACCATGAATGGGCTAATGCTCGGAAAGAGGATCTACTTTGAAGATGTGGGTTCTGGAAATCTGGCTAAGAAACCACCTGAAAATCGAAATCCAAGTAGGTCGAGTGAAAAACTAGGGTTTCGGGCCAAAATGGGAAACCACCAAGGAGCCAAGTCGAGGGATATAGTGCGAAGCCATATTATTGCAGGCACAACAAACAGAGTTTCTCAGCGAGAGAGAGGTAAAAGATAGCATGATGCGGACCTCAAATTTATGAATAGTATTTAATATTTTCTAGTGGGTCCGTTGGGGGTTTGATATTACCCGTCTTTTTTCGTAATACATTTTGTATGTAGGTGCCTCCCGTAACCAGTCTTGTTATAGGTCGATAGTATGCGGGGTCTTTTTTAGCTATTGGGGTGGGTAATAGATTTCATAATTTTCGAGGAAATGTTAGGAAATGTGTTTCATTTCCTGCCCACTACGTAGGTAACCAAACACTGGAAATGACATATTTCCTCGTAATCTATTTCCCCGTAATAGAAATACAGGTATCCAAACGGCCCTAAGCAAACAAAAGCAAATTTTGTGGCCATTAATCAAGGAGAAGGTGGGGGGGGTTTGGTTCCTGCATTGTAGAGCAAGAAGAAATTTGTTCAAATATGAAGGTAAATGAAAATAAAATAAGTATGAAATCTCTTAGACTGAAGGATTAATAGCTGAATGCCTGAGTTGTCTTGAAATGGCTTCTTACTTGTAAGTGTTTAATTACATAAGATAATAAACACCACAAAGTGAAAGGTAACAAGAAACAATAAACTTAGGTCCCCCGATGCCACATGAAACAACATAAGAGAGTTTATGTCATGCATTTACAAAAAATAAGAAGACAATTATATAATGAAAGCGTAAATGACATAGAGATCCAAGCAATCAAAACACTACAGATAGATTCAAAATATCAGTGACATTTCTTTGAAAGCAAAACATATCATTAATCAAACAGCAAATCAAAAGAGGACCAAAAAGTAGAATCAGCATTTAGTGGACCATGAGACATACCTCACCGAATGGAGTTGCTGAGAGAACCCTTCCAAGACATTCAGTTGTGAAGTTCAGGACATCTCTCGAATTAAGGCGTTCTTTAAGATGACATACTGAAAAAATAAAATGAAATACCAGAATCTTAGCAATGAGGTTTTAAGAAATTAGCAAGATAAAGAGAACGAGAAACCTAAGCTAGGAGAGGCAATGGGGAGGGCGGCGAAATGAGTTCAGATAGCAATGGATATCAGGAAAAGTTTTTAAAACTATAAAATACAAAATAAATAAATAATACAGAAAAGGAGGAAGCTAAAGAATAATGAGAGAGAACAATAAGAGGAAGTCAAATTAGAATAAACGACGCTTGAAATCTAACTTATGAAGCACTGAGAAAGGAGAGGCAGGTGATTATAGGAAAATAGTGAGCAAAGGGGATTTATGTGTCTTGGAAAGTGGTGCCACAGGCTGCGACCATGGTTTCAATTCTTTAGACTCTCACAATTGTACCACACAGCCATATGTTTGAAAATCAATTAGACTGACTGAACAATTGAAAAGCCACAGAATATCCATTTAGTACCAAAAACTAAGAAAGTAACCATTAGAAGCCATTGAACCACATGAATTTTTCACAACAGTTTAATCCTTGATAGTCACTTGTTATTCTATCTTCTAAAAAAATACTAATATAGCATGACAAAGGCATGGAACACGACCTTCTTGTATGCAAATCCCATATTTCAGCAAAATGTGACAGAGATAATGAAACAATGCCGAGTAATTAAGTTAAACCTAAATCAAAAGAACTCTGTAATGGAAGGAATTACTTTAAGGTTTCCGATCAAGCATCCCTCTCTTCAACATTTCTGAAACTAAATAGCAATTTATCAGCTCATTCTCATTAAGAAGTGTGAAAAAAATAAACCAAGGAACTCACCATCCAAGTAGCTGGTGAGAGATTCACCAGGAAGTTTTGAACTGGGCAACTGTTCTCCTCTGATAGGTCATTAACCTAATCTCTCTCGAACACAATTTCAGCCTCTTCCTCTATCTCACTGCCCGAATTCTCAAAATCCTCGTCAACCCAAGGGTCCCTCTCTCTCCCAATATCATTCCCATCCTCTCTCTCACTGCCTGAATTCTCCGAATCCCCATCAACCCAAGACTCCATTCCTGGCCCAGTATCACCCCCATCCTCTCTCTCACTTCCCGCATTGTCCAAATCCCCACCATCCCACGACTCTCTTTCGAACCCAATGCCACGATCATCATCTCTCTCTCTCCTCAAACGCCCCAAATCCTCACCCAATTTCATCTTTCTAGGGCTCATCATAATGAGCTCTGCAAGCCTCCTCCTCGCTAAATACAAATCGTTGGGCTCAATCAATTCACCCTTCCTATAAGCCTCTCTCAAGAACACAGTATGAAGCTTCCCATGATTCCCCCTCGTGGAAATGTAAAAGATTCCCTGATGCTGCAATAAAAACTCCTTCAGTTTCTTAGGCAAGTTCATGGCATTTCTAAAATGAGCAATTCTCTCTAAAGTGATCTTTTTCTCAACAGTTAAACTTAGAATCTCATGAATCATTGCAACTGCTCTCTTCTCCATTCTCTTCTGAGCTTCAATGGACCTCAAATCATAACCAGAAACATCTTCATAAGGAGACCAATAAGGCAACCTCTGCCATTTCCAAACTGCGATCTTATAGTATTTACCAATCTTAAACCCAGGTGGAAAGTTGATAATGAACGCAAACCTAATATTCTCTGCATCTTTACCTTTGGTTCGATACTCCATCTCTCTAGCTCGCTCAATTGCACAAATTGCTAAATTGGGGTCTTTCTCTACGAGCTCAATATACTTTGATCTTGGATCAGGTGAATCAATAAGCCTAAAATATTGGGGAAACTTAAGTAAAATGGTGAATTCGAAATCATCAGGTAAGCCTAAATCTCGACGAGCAACCCTAACATGTTCGAGCCTTAACCTCTGAGAATTCGACACCATAAGAAGCTTCCGGAGACGATTAATGGCCTCTGGTAGTTGGGCCACGAGCGCCTGGTTTTCACTACGAAATTGATCTAGGGCTTTTTTTGTGAGCCTGCTAAAGAGGATCCTTTGAACTGGGTGCTCGTAAATTTCAAAAACATGGGGAAATTTCAGAACAAAAGCTCCGGCCTCGAATTGTTTCAGGCCAAATCGACGGGCCAGGGCATCAAGGCGAGCGATGCAGATGGTTTGAGAGGGTTGAGAGAGAATGAGGTCCTGAAATTTTAGGGTTTTTATTATCTTTTTTTGGACTTCCATGTAGTTGTCGTAGCCATGGTCTCGAACTCTTTCGAGCTTTTTTGGCGAGCAAATGGCTTGGGAGAAGGGGCGTATAGAGAGAGGGGATAGAGAGAAGCCGAGGCGCTTCCATAATGAATTTCGCAAGGGGAAGAAATGGTGCATTCTAGATAGAGAGAATCCTTCACAGTGTCAAGGGTTAAGGCTTGAAGTAGGTACTGTCTAGGGTTTAAGCCTTCAAGGCATGAAGCAAAGAGAGTGAAATTTTTAAAAAATGGTGGTGTTATCGGCGGGGGATGCATTTCTACATTTGCGTCCCCTAACGTATAAACCATCCATTCCAAAGATAGATGTAATTGGTGGTCCCTTCAAAATAGATTGAAATGGATCTACGATGAGATGATTTATTTTTTATACAAAGATGCCTCAATCATCATTGAGTGTTAAATTTGAAATCAAGTGGTTGATGATGTGTCGTTATGCCAAATTAAAATTGTAACCTCCTTGTCCTAAAAATAAATGGGCTCATAATATACAATCCTAAAGATTAAAACAAGGGAAAAGATCATGTCAGCCCATAGGTTGACTGTTACAGTAAACGTCGACGCTCATATTGATGATGGTCAAGATTTCATTTCGTATCTGAATTTTTATTTTTTTTTCTACAAATCCAAATCACTGAAAATTTGAGACGTTTATTCTTCAAAAATAGTAGAATCTAATAAAAATAGAAATAAATAAAAATCGTAAAATGTAAATTGACGAAAATACTCACAAAAAGTTTCGGAGGTATTTTGGTTAATTTATATTTTACGAAATATTTTTTTGTATTTTTATTAGGCGCGCCTTAATGAGAATAGTGAATATTCTAAATTTCAAGTGATTTGGATTTATAAAAAATAAATAAATTTCAAATATAAAAAGAGGTTGTAACTGGGCCGTAGGCGTTTACTGTACCAGTCAATCTGGGCCGTAGGCGTTTACTGTACCAGTCAATTCGTAGGCATATGGAATCCACTCCCTTCAAAAAAATGGTCTAAATATTTATTTCAAACAAAAATTAGTTTTAAAATTTATTTATTTTTACATATTCATTATCTTCATGTTAAATATTATACACTCTTTACAAATTAGGGCCAAAACCCACTGAGGAATGAAACAAGTGTATTAGAAAACTAATCAAGTTTTATGCTAAAGAAGTCAACAACCGAGGCTATTTTTCTGCAAATGATTAATAAGTTTAGAGCAAAGGAAAAATACCTCCACATGATCTTTATTGATCTAGATAAATCACATGATAGAGTACTTCAATATTTAATTTTGTAGATATTGTAAAATAAATGAGTCTCCATACACTACATCAAATTGGTGAGAGATATGTTTGATAAAGTGTTAACTAGTGTACGAACAACTAATAGAGAGATTAGTGAGTTTCAGTGACAATAAGTCTACATAAAGTGTCAGTATGGAGCACATACCTTTTTGTTTTAATTATAGACAACTTAATTAGGGACCTACAAGATGAGGCATCATGGTGCATGTTTATATCGTTTTCATTAATGAATATCAAAACAGCGTCAACACTAAATTAGAACCTTGGAGGGATGTTCTAGAATCTAAAGGTTTTAACATTAGTTAAACTAAGATAGAGTATATGAAATGTAAGTTTAGTAGTAATAAGAGTAGATATGAGGAAGTAGTTAAGATTGACGATCGTGAAATACCAAAAAGATATAACTTTTGATATATTGAGTCGTTCATCCAAGAAAATTGAGAGATTAAGGTAGATGTCGAAAATAAAATTAAACCTAGGTGAACGAAAAAGGAGATGTACAATTGGAATTTTATGCGATCACGCACGTACCAATGAACTGGAGGACACGTTCTATAGGACAATTGTGATACCAGTTTTTCTCTATGGGGAGGAATGTTGGGAAGTCAAAAAACAACGTACCATAGAATTAATGTAGTGGATATGAAGATGTTAAGATGAATAAATGGGAAAACAATAATAGATAAAATTCGAAATGAATACATTTGAAAAAAATTAGGTGTGACACTAATAAGTGACAAGATGAGAAAGAATACACTTTGATAAGCTAACCATGTGTGGCGTTGACCCAATACAACACCTGCTAGAAAGTGTGAGTTAGTTCAAGTAGAAGGCTAAAAAATGACAAGGGGCAAACCCAAAAGGCCATGGTTGGAGTGAAAAAATATATGGAGACTTATGGGTTCACTGATAGTACGTCCCTCAATATAACATACCATGATTTGTACAGCCGATCCCAATTAGTTGAAAAATTAATGTGACGATGATGATAGCATCTTTGATGTTGAGATGATCAATTAAAGGGTTTTTTAATATCAAAATGATATTTTTCAATTGATTTTTAGAGTGCACCTTAATTCTAGAGTTTAAAATTACAACCTTATATAAACTTTTTCCTTTTTCATAATGTACATCCCTTTATTTCATCCGAGTAACTCGCTCTCCATTGGCCTGAGGCGACTCTGAGAACGTTGATCTAAATATTGGCTTGGTCGCAAATCTCGACCATCCGTCCCGTTCACTTCCATGACCGTTCCCTTGGATAGCGATGCATAGTGACTTAATTTTTGTACTTACTCATCGACAATCTCATGATTGCAACTCAATCCATAAACAATGAAATGAATTTATATGGTTTATAATGATGATAATAATGATAATAATAATAACAATAAAAAGTAATAAAATAATTAATTATTAAGTGGAATGGAAATTTTTCCAATTCTTATGCAAATTTAGTCTTACCCCACTAACGAATCCACTTTTCAAATATATATCTGATTATTAAAGAAATTGTAGATCGTGATTGGATTCGACTAATCTAGATTAGAGCCGACACGTTGTGGAACCCAGATTGGGCTCAGCTATCTTAGAATTGTCCAATTTTTTCAACAACAACACTAACTTAGACGATTCTATGAAAAAATATAGAGAATGGGTTGGGGCCTTGGCAGTATGAAAAAAACCATTATTGTCCAAATTTTTTTTATCTACGATGGAAGATGGTTAGCTTCAATCTAGAACATGAATTTTATGATTTCAAGCAATTATTTTTACTGTTCGATTTTAGTTTTTCTGAAAACTCTCAAATTTTCAAA